AATAAGCCTCCATATGACTTCATTGTAACCAATGGGCGCAGTGTATACACAGAAAATCACACACAGAAACCGATGCTCACCGCAAAGAATTAATCTGAGCTTGCATTGCATGAAGCTCTTGGACAGTGATATGACATGTTTGCCGTTAATTGTTCCAAGCAGCAATCCAACATTAAAATTAGCCTTCGGTGTATAACACACACAAACATAAAACTACAAAAATGGGATCTCAGACTTATAATATTTTAAAAAAAATGATAATAACACAAAAATTACTATAAGCACAGAAACTACGTGTGCGAGCGTCGCTTGTATTTTTTTTTAAAAAAGATATTCGATAAAAGAAGAATCTACTCACATCACGACGAATGAAAGATGATCAGTCGAATATGAGTACACGCTGAAAATAAAACCCAGGTTCCCGTTGATGATAAATGTTTATTTCTTACAGTTCAGATTTAAATAAATTACCTACACATATATTATAATGTATAAAATAATAAAAAATCATTCACAGAGGGTTGGACCGACCAGAATAAATGGTGTATTCCCGAGCAGCGCTTTATCCAGACCTGCGCTGTTCACGTGACCGATTACAACCCTGACTGACGTCACTGATGACAGTGCTGTGACAGAGAAAAACGTCTGTGGTTCTGAAGAAACATTTGGCGATACAGGTTTATACGGAACTGCACAACTTCCGAAAGCCCTACCACACCAAAAGAGTATTATTATTGTCATAAGCTGTACTAGTCGCATTTTGTCGCGAATGATTTTGTTATATTTATCTCGAAAGGAGCTATATAAATAAAAACGTATTTTACTTTCTTATTATTATTTTTTTTGTTATTGAGCTAACATAAAAAAACGTCTCTGATAGAAATATTACAGTATAGCTTTACTTTTACAACTTATTTATATCACCGCAATAAGCTTAAAACGGTTTTTCTTTTCATTTGATAGCTCTGTGAAACTTCTTGCATACAAACAGGGATCATAAATTCTGATGAGCTACACCTAGTTTTATTTAAATCTACTGAGTGACACAGTATTCCAGGATTTAACTGTAGTCATCCACACCGCTCAGGCCCACAACCCCCCACCCACCCATCGCCAAAGACAGACAAGACTCTTTTGATTTAATAAGCAAAGTACATTATTTTATTCTTAAAGGGAAAAGGGGCATAGAAACACTTATTCATTTTGGTAGTGCATTCAGTATAATCTGAGAATATTACATATATTAGGCTAATTATATTAATATAATTTTTGCAATAAATATAGGAATTATGATGATGGTGGTGATGATGATACTTTATTGCCAGACAACTCTGAACTTCACCACATTATCATTATTATTATTATTATTATTATTATACAATTTTATATATCACATGAACTCATCTATGACATGATAATCAAAAGGTTGTTGTTGTTTTTTCCCTCACTCAGCTGTTTAATGTTCAGTTATACCCAATGAAAGTGGTTTTATGCAGAGTAAAAAGTTACAGTATACTGTAACTTTTTAGTCTGCATAAACCCTGGCAGTCCTGCCCTCTGCTGCCCTTGTGTGGCCATTACTAAGACACACAGTTTGGTGGAAATTCACAAATGACCACATATTAATACTGGGAAACCCCATATAGCTCCAGTGGTGAGCAATACATGCACCAGTAGTTTTAAAAAGTTGCAGCTTCTCATGGAGCCCCTTGGGAAAATTAATAGTTAATTAATTAATTAATAGAACGCATAGTTCTGATTTACTCCAGTTTCAGATATGGTATTGTCTCTTTAATGCTTTTTAATGCTTATTATATCTCCAAGATAAGGATGGCAACACTGCAGTTTTATTGTTAAAAGAAAAACAGTTATAGGCTGAAGACAGCTACTAAATCAAAAATGTTCAACATGGTATTGCCGAGATGTGCAGACTAGATGAAAAACATGATATAAGATTTGTGGCGTGAATGTGTTTGACAAGCTGCATGCTCACATTGGATAAGGTACGGTATTCATTAGCAACAGACAGTAGGTGTCTTTTCATTTGTTTCTGTGAGATTGCAGGCACACACCCCGACTGCACCCTTGAAGAAACATAAAAACAACAAGATATCTGATATATTCTTAGGCAGTTAGCAGATATGCTGTTGTTGGTATTTCAAAGGTACTGTACAGGTGTTAAAAGTGACCAGGTTTTCTATGTAAAGGCCTAGTTATTGATGTTAAGTCATTAAACTCAACAAATCAAAATGCTCTTCAGAGCTAAATGATCATCATCACACTTTGGTTTAGCATGAAAATATATATATATCAGAAAGGTCCAAACGGTCCAAACGGATATTTAAGTCGAACTGCCTGAGAATATTACATACCATTTTTCTGCTCTGTGCTCTTAACTTCATGGTTATGCTACAGTGTTAACTAAAAACTTACAAAAACAACTGTGGGCCTTGACTAGGCATTTATTTGTATTTTTAGCAGATGGTGCTTCCCACCCACAAACACCTGGAGCTGCCAAAGAGCTATGTAGTGATGCAGGTTCAGGTTTGACTAAACACAGTATTTATTACTGCACTGGTTACCAGCAGCGCCGTCACTTTAGAGAAGACTAAATAATTATTTTGTGACTTCACATAAATTGCTTGCAATCCAAGATCAGATGTGTTGTTACAAACACAGTTAAGTTCAAGTAAGATGAAGTGAGGTTCTTCCTGTCAAAGCACAACACAGCTGTCATACTGGGCTTTTTGCAGAAGCGTGAATGTGGAGTACTGACATTACCTGACATTTCTTGATCTCAGCAAATAGCTCAGTATGAGTTGAAGGGCTATAGTGGAAAAACAGAACATTAAGTATCTGTATGTGTTACCCACAATGAAATAACAAGCAAGCTCCAAAGCTAACAATCACTGAGATCGCTGCTGCTGTCAAACAAGAAAACATTGCATCCATGGCAACAGCTGATGAGTTATTACAAAAACCAAAACCCAAAATAACAACATCAAAAAAAAAAAAATGAGGGAAGAAATTAAAACAACTCTTTTAAAAAACATGTTATTACAATATCTACACATTGGAAGGAAGGAAGGAAGGAAGGAAGGGTGATTTATCCAACCTAATGTATGAGCCTACCTTGCAAACGACTAACAGACTGAGCAACAAATACATTTCAAAGGATTATCATTTTCTGATTTGATTCAGGATAACAGCTAGGCTAAAAAAGTGTGTGTGTGTGTGTGTGTGGGGGGGGGGGGGGGGGGGAGGGGGGGGCTGTGTTGGGGTTATTGTTGAGCTTTGAAATCAGCCATTAGTGTGAATTGGTCTGCCTTGTTAGCCTTGCATTAAAGGCAATAGACAGAGTTTTATTTAATATCAGATCAGAAAAATCCAGGTGAAATTACCATATAATGATGTCTGGTCTTTGATCGCACGAGACTATTGTTGATGACATCCTCCAGAGGATTAAAAATTGTTTCGAAAATGAACATCATTACAAGGAGGAAATTAGACAAGAAAGTGTTGTTGAAAAATTCTACGTTACACCTCAAGCTTGGAAAGGGGTCATCATCAAAAAAAAAAAAAAAGTCATTCTTAGATAGTTAGATAGTTTTTTGTTAATTTATGTTGTAATTTATGTTAGGTCAGTCTGTCTTGTCTCTGCTAGCCAGCTAACTAGGCCTCTTAGTTAGCTAGTTTAGAGTTTTTCTGTTAAATTATGTTGTAAATTTATGTTGGATGTAGCACCTTGGTTCCTGGAGGAACGTTGTTTCGCCTCACTGTGTACTGTTAAACTGTATATGGTTGAAGTGACAATAAAGCCAACTTGACTTGATCATCAGCTGGTCATGCCAGCAGCACCAGTCTAATCAGCTCCTTGACTCACTCACACTTTTTCAGAAGTATACAGTTTTTCAGACCATCAGGGAAAAAGTTTGTGTTCTTTAGTTGAAAAATCCCTTGACAAAATTGGGAAGTGAGTCAGTGATTTGACTTAGATTTTCAAAAACTGTGTTTTTTTAAATGATTTATGTTTTTCTACAAATATATGCACGTCAGACTCTTAAGAAAACTTGCAACGTGTGAGTGCATGTAAATAGTGGACGAGTCAAAATATTGCATACCTTCTGCAACTGAAATATAAACGGAGGAGAAAGGATTTATTTCGTACTGTGGAGATTGTTTGTAATTTCCCATTAGTAAGCTGAAACGATAGATATTAGATATATTATAATCTATTTTATAAGTATTGATAGACCTAAAAAAGAATCCTGTGTGTTAAACTATAGACATTTTACAATAAAAACGAGAATTAAAGAAAAATAACTTTTCAGGTCCCACCGAGATTTGAACTCGGATCGCTGGATTCAGAGTCCAGAGTGCTAACCATTACACCATGGAACCACGTGTCAGCGACCTACTAAAATCATAGAGTGAATCGTGACACATCTTGTTTCTGCAAGGTGTATATTTATTGCGGATGTATTGTTTCCCTTGTAGACCGGAATAAAAAGACAAAACTTGGGCACTTACTTGTGACTGGCAGAATTACTTCAATGCCGCTCTCACCAGCACTCGGCTGCCTCCTGGTGGTCAACATGTGTAATTGCAAGAACCGCAGGTATTGATTTTCATTCCGTTTTCTGCTCGCCTTTGAGGCACATGTGAGTATGTAAACCTCAGGGCGATTCCAATGTCTCCAGTCCACACTAGTAATAATGACCTAACCATGTCTAAATTAAGTCTACAGCCACAATTTAGTGATCTTTCATTCCAAATCCTTTCCAGGAGGTGCACTTATGTAATTGTAATACTATGTTAAACTGCTACTGATGAAACATCTTGCATTAGATCTTTTTGAAATACAATTAATTTAGATCTGAATATACAAATTTAACGATGATCTTTCTGCAAAGAGTACCTAATAACACTTAAATTAAAAAGTGCAACTGCACATCTGTGAGTTCACCACAGTTAGCAGGCCTACCACAAAATCAGTTTATGACTGAGATTGTTCAACTCTAGGGTAAATCTCCTTAGTTCAACCAATACCTGTGAAAAAAAAAAGCATTATAGACCGAGGTGCAACATTACATAGCAGGACTCACTAGCCTTGAGCACTCACAGGGTTGTAGTAATGTGGTTGCTCTGTCTCCATAAAAATAGTAATTTCTTTAAACCTTGAGCTTTGAACTCATATGGAAACATCTGTTCTCATAGAATTCTCCATTAACAGGTCTCACCAGTTGATTTAGACAAATCTTATGTCATTTCCTTTCCCACCTTTACTTTGTTAACAGGCTTATTTAGTTATTGAGCAGTGTTAGAAGTGTCAAGGTTGGTTTTCATCTGAATTATATACAGACACAGAGGGAGTGAAAATGATCAACCTCACTGGGATGAATAGTGATTGTGCATTAAGTAAAGATCCAGCTCTGGTCTGATGGATAATCACAGTTCCTGTAGCAGGACGTGACCACAATAAAGATCGGCAGCTGAGCTCTGCTATGGATTTAGCCACAGCAGAGTGCAGTCAAATGGTGCATACTTAAATGAGAGCGCTATCACACCACAATTGATCCTGCTATCAGAAGTTCACCAGGAAAAATAGAAACTTTATCAGAAGTTGTTGTGTGTCGCTCTTTTCAAATGCTTCATGCAGACATAAATCTATTCCCTGGCTCTCAACAGCTGATGTCAGACTCAAGTGAAAGTGACAGGTTATTCTGCAGCAGCGTGGTCAGCATCCAGGTGCAGCTTTTCAGAACATGTAGATGTTTTCTTCCCTCCCCACTCTATGACAGCTTCTGTGAAAAACAGCTTTTGCGAGAGATAGAGCTGACAGGCAACTGCACCAGAAAGGTGTACGCCTTAGGACTGCATTAGAAAGTGAAAAAAGCCCTGAAGTTCTTCAGCTCAAGATTTATCAACGTTGTAAGATGCAGACCAAAGATATGCACACATATGAATCAAACCAATGACACCGCTCACATTTAACCAGTTGCAACGAGTTTGTGTCGTGTGTAGTTTTTGGTAGCGTTTGCATGTCATCTTGTCAGCTTTGCATGAATTTTGATAAAACGTGGTAGGGTTGTAGAGTGGGGTCATGTTAACAATTCATTAAAATTTGGCTTACATCCACCAAGGTCTTCAAGGTCGAATGAATGATTTATCCGTCGGAAAATGATAAAAAAAAAAAAAAAGCTTTAGAACGTAGAAAAAATTATCCTTATAAGTGAGATGTGTCAACATATAGAAACTACTGTAAAAATATTTTAATATGTCATATATGACCTCTGACCTCACAGTTGTTAGATTAAACTGCAGGTCAAAGTGATAATAATTCTATACAGTGTTATTTAAACCCATGCTTCGTACTGCTTTTTCTTGCATTGACAACATGTAGGTATACAGGGAATTACATATGGGGATATACAAATATCTCGTTACTCTAGTCAAATAACCTCAAAGTTTCATCAAATACCTCATCATTAAATCTGTGCCGCCTTTGTTTGTACTGGTAACATTTAAGAAATGATTCTGGTATACGTGGATTTTAAATATGGCATTACAGTTTGCATCCAAATATCATGTCACATTTGACCTCTGACCTCACTTTCACATTTCACATCTGCCTTTCTTACATCTTTAAAGAAAGTATTGTCAAGAGAAAGAACGAGCTGGTTATTCCTAAATCAATACCTTGTTTGATTTATTCATCATTACCTACGCCTACATTATCTGTCTGGCTGCCCTTCTCTCATTTTTACTGCACAACAAATTTCTTAAAGTAGTTTGAAAAGAACAAAGAAAAGAAAAATGAATATATACAGAATACAACACTATTCCCCTAAAAGTAAATACTACCCAGAGAATGAGCTGCCATGCCAGAGGTTTGTGCTCTTGGAGTGCTTCTTGTTAACAAAGTGAAAATGTCCAAAAAGTTCTCTGCAAGTTTTAACTGCCCACTGAAAGACTAGCAGTAATAAAGGAGAAGAAATATGTTCAACTGTGAAGATTATTTCAATACTTTGTATAAAATGTAGTTTAAAGGGAAACAAATGACTTCCCGTGAGACAGCTGACACTGTTAAATTAGGATTAATGGAGAACAGATGTGGACAGAAGCGAATGTGCCACTAATATAGTTGCATATTTGATGGCACGCTTTACACTGAGATGTAATATTCATATAGGTGGCAGAACAAGACTCTGGAAATTAGAAACATTTTCTTTTTGTCTGTCACAGTGACTCAGCTGAAAGAGAGCACACGCTCCCCAGCAGCAATAATGATACCTGCATCTGAACGCACAGAACTTTTAAGCATTCAGTATCTGTCCAGCTTTTAGTCAAATGAAGGTTTGTTGCCGTCTGTAACTCTCTACATGGTCTGACCTCTGAGAAATCACATAAAGTATTTCAGTTCGGAAAGGCTATTCAGCAAGCCAAAAAGAAGAAGAAAAAAAATCGACATCTCTCAAGTGCTTACCGTGCTACCGTGTGACCTCTTCCTTTTATGCTTCTTTTCTTCCACTCTAGCTCTCTTTAAAGTCCCCGGCTGTATTTGGTCCATTAGTTCCTTGACTTAGTGACTGCATTTCCTTTCCGTGGGGCATCACTCAGGGTTTGTCGGCTGTCAATTGAGTGGAGCTCAAAAAACCCGCTCCTTAATTCTTTGTAATAGTGACCCGACACCCTGCAATTTCTCCACGTTCCGGTAATTATGACAGTTATGACTCTTTTTTTTAGTAAAGCAAGCACTATGGCCTTTTACACTTGAGAGACACAGAGTTATTTCTATAACTTCATATAGACAGATACGGTTAGTCATATTAAATGTATTTGGTGATCCAACAGCATAAATTATTTAAAAACCCCGTGCACTGAGACAAACTTAACAGCTCCAAAAATGTGTATCTTTACTTAACTCCAACAGGTCATCATCTCAGCCTATCGTGTTCATGAAGTAGACTTCTGAGCATCAATTACAACCATCAGCGATCCTGGGCGCAGTCAGAGATGAAAAACAGGCTCCACACTTTCACCCAGAGTAGCAGTAAAAAAACCCTGCTTTTCTGTTTTTCACTCGTCTGCACAGTCGATCAGGAAATTACTCAAAAGAAAATGTTTAATTCCTGTGATTTCATTTATATAGCTGTCAAGTAACTCTAATGAAAGTACAATAAATGCGGTAGAATAAAGGATAAAACATTTTCCTCTGTGGTGTAGCGGATAAATTTACATGCTGTGGAGAGCTGAAGTATACGTATGGTGTAAATCAGCTTGCTTTGCCTGGAGGTCGCTCCTTTAGAATGACAGGAGGCCAGGGGCCAGTTTAAATGATAAAAAAGTAGAATTTATGAGATTAAATGAATAAAACTGACAAGCTGATAGCGCAATCAGTAGGGGCATCTGAAGTTTTGTTAAGTTTAAAAGCCTTCATGCAACACCCCACAACGGTGGAGACCACTCAATCAATTTTATACAGTGAATTTTAAAATAGTCGACGGGTCAGCCGGCGCCCTGCGGTGGCGAGTAAGCCTATCGCTGGTCTAAATCATGTAGTTGTCCCCTTTCTGCTTCAGTCTGCGCACAGCATATAACATCGGAGGATTTAACAGAGTTTCTATTCACGAATTTCACCCAAAGACTCATCATTAAGCCACCTGATAAGATTTGTTGTTCACCAGACCAGAACCCTTCATTAAGGGCATTAACCTGACTGAAACGGGTTTCTGATGGCAGAATAGGCATTTAATTTGAAACTTGTACCAAAACAACAACCTGCTTTGATATGACAGCAGCTAGAAAAACCTTCCTCGGAGGTCAAATAGTCACATGGTTTATGATCCACTGGTCACCACACTGGTCAAAGATGGGATAATGTTCAGCACTAATGAAACGCTGTCTGTGCATCGATTGTCAACATGTTATTGCTTCTACATAGGGTGAAATGGAATTCACATAGTGAATGAGCAAATTCATCTCGAGAAATAAATAAATAAATAAATAAATATGCTCTTTTAGCCTGATACAAACATAAATTTTAGATTTAGAAATGGATTTGTTTCCCTTTCTTTTTTCTTTTTTTAAACATATAATTCCCTTTTGTAAATACTGCACAGGATATTTGTGGGTCTTAAACTGCTCATGTGAAAGCCTTTTTTTTCTCCCTTTTTTCAATTTACAATTTGACAGAGAGAGTGAGAACATTTTAAGTGACTTCAAAAACAGTTCACAAAATCACACCGATAATTTCACAAGAAGATAAATTGTGTTATCTACATCAGCGGGTATCCATGCTCATTTTTTTTTCTTATGCTAGAATAACACAGACTTTTTTTTTGTTTTTTAAAAAGGAACACCATCACTAATATAAAACAATCCAAAAAAACCCAATTAGATTTATAAATACAAAAAAAAAGTCTAAGCAAACTCTTCTTATGACCCACTATTTTTAAAAAAAGATGTAAACCAAAACATTTGCAAGAAAGAAAAAAAAAGAAGAAGAAGCTTTCACGTACAAAACAACACAAGATCAGATCACTTCATTAGTGTGGGGAGAAAAATCCAAACTTTAGACTTACTGTTACTTTCAGCAATGCAATAAATGCATGAACACTGATGACCTGAATACATTTCAAGATACACTGGGCCTCATTAACACTAAAACTAAGAGAAGCTCTTTAGTAAGACACAGAGATCACATGAGTATTAACTGTGATTGTTACTGGATAACAGTGAATAAAAAAAAACCCCAAATACAATATTTTACTATTTATCCATGCTTCCTCAGACTTGGCTCACTCACAGCAAAGTTTCCTTAAATTAACATTTAGTAGAGGTTTCGCTACCTTTGCCCGCGCTTTTCTTCACTTCGGAGTAGATGATCGTAAGCACTTTGTGGCAGCTGTGCTGTGATATGCAGCTGCTTCACAGAGAAAATTCATAAACACTATACATAGCAGATCTTTGCCTGCTTAGATATGGTGAAGGCTGTTAAACCTTCCTTCCTGTGGAGAAAATCACTTGTGTTTTGCGGGGACTTTATAAACGCTTGGCTGTCCTTGAATGCAAACTTATATGATGGGTTAAAAATCAGAGTGAAGAGAGCTCTCTCCAGGTAAATAAACTGTCCACCCACTCCATGTATACTGTCTTACAGGGTGCTTGGAAAGATATTGTTCCACTTCAGCAGGTCCATAAAGAGGCCAGCCAGCAGTTTGTGTGATCAATTATATAAGAAAATACAATGAGTGAATGATCGCTGGTGTGTGGGACACTCTATCTCCCCCCTTTCCTCTCTCTGGGCAATAGAATGGGCACCAGTGAGGGAGCTAAAGAGAGCAGGGTCCAGAAGAGCTGTGGCTGTCCTTCCATCTCAGCATGTCAGTATCTAATCGAACACACACAGAGACAAAGGGAGGGCCGTTGGTTGAAAGGTGGCTGGATGTTTCCCAGATGCTGGCACGCAGTCAGAGGCCCGGAGGACAGCGTGCCTTCTAGAGCAGAGAGCTGGGGCTTTCTGGAGGCGGTGGGGGTGTGTGCGTGGGGCTGTGACGCATGGGTAGTATGTCATAGTGGCTGGGGATGTGGCTGCTGCGGGGAAGGTCGTAGGGGCTCTGGGAGAATCCGGTGGCCATTCCATTGGGCCCCTGCAGGACACTCACTGTCGGCTCTGTCACAGTTTGGGGAAGGAGGAAGGGAAAAAAAGTGGGAGAGATACATAAGAAGGTAAAGTGTCAGGCACAGGCTGAGGGAAAAAAAGAGACCAGAGAGGTACATGCAACAGAGACCACATATATTTTCTTTTATCAAGGCGTACAAATTCTGTACAGGATCACAGTATGGGACATGACCAGAGAGGCCATAAGCTGCAGGACCCTGCTGAGCTCCACACACAACACTCCAACAACGCACTCACCAACATCATAGACATTCCTGCTTGCACTGCCCAGGAGGGTGGCAGTGCCTCCAAAGGGCACTTCACGGTGGGAGGGGGATTTCATCTCCACATAGCTGCTCTCTGTGTGCTTGCAAGCCAGCCCTGGTGGGTCTCTAATGGTAGCATAAGGATTCTCACTATTGAGGGAGCAGGAGCTGTTGCTGCACATGGAGCTCTTGATGTAATCTGCAGCTGCCGCAAGACAAGGACATATTTAGTATCAACAGAGATGAAGTGCCTGCCACTGACTTTTAACAATGGCATACATACTGAACTCTGATATTAAAGGACTAAAATTTAAGCTGGTATCAGAGCGTGACCAGAAGAATGGAAGCGAAACTCGTTGCCATTCTCAAGAAGCTGAACTTCTTTTGTCTCGGACAGGTGACTAATGGTGGTACGTAGTAATCAGAGTACAAAGGGGAGAGAGTGGAGGACTCGTCTCATCCATAACAGTCTCATCATACTGATAAGAGGGCTCATTAGAGACCGCAGCAAAGCTGCTTCAGACCACTCTCCACACCCTTGGGTTTCTCACATTCACCACCGATTGAACAGTGTGGAAGACAAAATGACGTATCAGGCACGGAGCCATAGAGAGCAATTACTGTTGGAATAAAACCTCAGCCCACCATGATCTTGTCCAAAGTGCAGTGAGTTTTCACATAAATTACAGAGACTATACGGATGTGGGATTTGGGGTCAGAGAAATAGCTGTCTCAGAGGGGAACACGACCCAAATGGGAAAATGGATATATGGGCTGTTAAGCATAAAAGGATTTTGTAATTTAGCTGCTAGTGAAGCTGAACAGGATTCCATATGCAGAATAGGTCTTCACAGACACGCATGCAGCACACAGCAAACTGTCCCTGCTATTCATTCCTTACCTTTCCTGGAGCCTCTTTGTGTCTGTGCCTCACCCTGTTGAACATCTGTAAACATGTCAAAACAACAAAGTCAGACATCACATTAAATTCCCAGAACGTGTGAAGGTTGACAGCCGACGTCTCATTATAGTGAAATATTATTATTTTTTTATTTTTTGAAAGGATAGGAAGAAAATGATGGTGATAAGTTACTGCCAACAACAAAATACCACAAAAAAGAAAAAAACAAGCCAAGTACTGTGACTACAACAGTTCATAGCTCAGTAAATAAAAACCACTTTTTGACTTCCCAATATAATTGATGTGCTTTGTACGTATAAACTAAATGGGGGCTCCGACTTTTAAAGTCAAGCATGACAAAGAATTAATTATAGATATTAGGTTTTTGAATGGACATCCAGCCTATTGTGATTCCCCGAGCGCTGAACACTGTCCTTTTTGTCAAAGCTGCTGGCATCTCACAGATATGCACAAGGTGTCCTCTGGTGTCTGTGCATGACCCACTTGGTTATAACGAGACTAAGACTGCTTTCTCGCTCCAAACTTGTCACATACAGTATTGAATCTAGTAAAGGACTGTGCACACTTTTCTAAAGTTAAGCAAGCCTAAGCCTAACCAGGGAGTGGATGCAAAATTGAATTCAGTGATAGAAAATAAAGCAAAACAAAGTCCAAAAGACAAACGCTCCCAAAGGGGACATGGACTGCAATCACTTCCTACTGAGGATTTTATCAGTCTTTAAAAAGGGGCCCAGTTATCTCTTGGCATCTTATATTGCAGCACTTCACGGCAACAAAGCAAAAAGGACACCTTGTGCGTATCTCTAGGACACCAGTGGCATCTGACAGAACAGCAGCAGTTGACGCCTCAGGGTCAGAATGCATTGCAACAGTGTTCAGCGCGCCTAAAGTCAGGACATAAGCAGTAAAGAAAATAATAATATTAATAATACAGTATTTTTACAACAGCTCACACTGTCATTCATTATCTGTGCACCACACCTTATTCTCCACTTACAAATGGTTACCTGACAATTACCATTAATACAAAAAAAAAAGACTTTGATGTGCTTACATCAAACTACCCTTTAGTTTGTTATAAACCATTTATGAAATGCTAATATGCTCCTTTTAAATGCCACACTTAATTTTCTATCGTTCACAGCCTATGTGAGTGTAGTGTTTGACCCAATGTAAGCCTTCATAGAAAAATGTGCCACCAGGGGAAGTGAAAGAGGACTAATGAGCTCATAGTGACCCCTATTCATCTTCGCACCACTGCTTTCGCTGCATATCTTATCAAAATCAGAGCAAAGGTTATGTCTAACAAGAGACCCCTGGTTCATCTTCATTCACAGCAGGTTAGCGCCAATAAAGGGTGTGTGAGAACGACACGTGTGTCTTTTGCCCTTGAATTGCTGGCTCTGTAAGGTCCAAATTCCAGATCTACGAACTGCGATGTAATAAGGGAGAGAAGAAAACTGACCCAGGTCATTGAGGTTGCAGTAGGCCCTCCATTCAGACCCATTTCTGCTCTTCAGCGTGTTTGACTGTGAAAAGAAAAAGACAATGTAGTGTTGATTTTGTACTGCAGCATGTAATTTAGAAATTTTGTGTGAAGACATGGAGGGAGTTCATACTTTAAGGGTCAGAGTGCCGTCCAAGTTGCTGGAAATGGTTGAGACCACATTACACTGAGCCACGGTGTGGTAGCTAGGGTTGGAGAAGCACTGGCCACTGCTACTGCTGCTGTTCTGGCTCTGACTGATCTCAGGAGCACTGGTTCTCATCGCGACAGTACTGCCACACTCTGAGGATTTACACACAGAAAGGTTCAAAAGCAAAATGATACCTTTTTACATTTTTTCCCATTTTAGTGATATTGCATGGGGTGTAAGCAGTTTTAATACATATATTGTAAGTGATGGAAAAATGCACATGCAAGACTCTTACCAGACAGAGAGTAGTCAGTGTTGGTAATGTGCATGGCCTGTGAGTACGATACACTTGGCTGGATCTCATGGCCCTTGTCCCTCTGCCTCTGTCTGTACCACACAAACAGACTAAGCATGGCCATGATGATGAGGAGGAGAAAGATGATGCCCATGACAGCCCCTGCCGACTGGCGCTCGGAGCCTCGTGCTGGACTGATCTTTGTGTATGGGTTCAGCTCTTCCATCATCAGAGCTGCTACAGAGAAAGCAGAAAAAGTGGGTCGTTTAAACAATGCGTACACATCTGTGTTTGAGCGATAATACCCCGTAAAGCCTCGGCCATCTCAATCACCTCTCACCTTGATCGCAGCGGATGCCTTTATAGCCAGGGCTACAGTAGCATGTTCCAGTCACATAGTCACAGGTAGCATTGTTCAGGCACTCGCATAGCTGCTGGCAACCATATCCAAATGTACCAGCGGGACACTCTGCATGACAGAGAGGCACATTATTACACCCATCAAAATTAAAGCACTTGCAGAGTGGGAGCCAAACTGTTTATAGAACACACACTCATCTACTGGGTAATTTTGCTCAGAGCTAAAATGTGTTGTGCCTACTCAACTCTGCTCACAGCTCGTCCCAATGAAGCCGGTTCGGCAAGCACACTGGCCAGATATGTGGTCGCAGTCTGCACCGTTTTGGCAGCGGCAGACTTCGGAGCAGTCCCTGCCGTAGAACCCTGAAGGACAGCCTGGGACAGGGATGTATAAAATGTTGGGGTGGGAGGAGTGGTGAAAACAAAGAGAAGGGAAGACAACATAGAGAGTCAAGGTCAAATCGCAAAGGAACGAGGAAATCAATATCACTCAATGTCTCTGCTGCATACTCAATAAGAGACAATGTGAATGAATTGAAATGAAACATTTCCTGCTTCTGCAGAAAATGCTGTTATGCTGTCAACATAACCTAGAGGTGGAAATAAAGAAGAAGACAACTGCAAATAGTAAGAATCTATATGAGAGAAGAGAGGGGAAAACAAATGTAATTTTCATGCACAATAGCAGGAGCTCCACACTGCAAACAATACTGAATAAACCCCTCGAGGTGATGGATAATGGAAATTCAAATTAGTGGACTGATATTGATGATCTGCTCTATCCCTGGGTAAATGACTGGGATGTATTACAACCATTAATGAAATGACCATTAGTTCTGTTCTGCTATTGCTCTCTCTCGCTTTAAAAAAATAAAAATAAAAAAAATAGATAAAAACATCCAGTTTCCTTGTAATCAGAAAAAAAGCATTGTTTCTCACTTGTCATCTGCTGCAGTTCTATTAGACTGCCAGTAGATGACACTGTGTGTCTACTAACTGGATGGGAGAAACTCACGCTGTGTGCAGTAGAGACCGGTCCAGCCGGGGCTGCACCTGCACTCTCCATCATAGGCACTGCACTGGGCTCCATTGTGACAGTTACACGAGTTGAGACAATCAGGGCCCCAGTGCCCAGAGGGACAGGCTGCAGACGCCAGAGACACAGTCAAACTCATGGTCACGCACTCTCCCTTACATACACTACGTCCTAGACATGCATACATGAATCACATAACACATATGTTTGAGGAAAAGTCCAGACATTCTCCACGCTTTCATACAATATGTTAAAATGATACATTTGGAAGAAAATCCAGTTTTGTCATTACCCTCCACAAGCCCACAAGTTGTAGTGTTGGAAATTGCTGTCAGGTGAATATGTATGGATTATCACCCGTGTGATCGTTAGTTGTTGTTTTTTTTTAGTTTAATAGTTAATGCAATTAAAAAAAACACACACACACATCAATTTCCCATGCCATGGCAGCTCAAAGTTCTGCTAATGATCTTTGGCCTACAGTTCTGTAAATCAAAGAGCATAATGTATTACAACAATCATTTAAGCAAGCTGTGTGTTTTACATCAGCTGGTGCTGAGGTTAGTTCTCTCTGTGCGCCGGGTCATGAAGATGATTAATGTGTATGAAGGTAAGGGTGAGAGAGAAATTAGGAGTGGAGACAGACAATGAGAGTGGGAAAAGTGGACAAATGAGCAAATTACAGAGTGGATGAAGGAAGGAAGGAAGCCATACCCTGAGAGCAGTCCTCTCCTATCCAGCCAGGAAAACACTGGCAGGAGCCATCAATGGGGTTGCAGGTGCCGTTGTTGGTGCAGAGGCAGATCTCGGCACAAGCTCTCCCGTACCTGCCACTTGGACAGACTGCAGAACAGAAAGAAACAACACACCACTTTACGAATAAACAAAAAAACTGCTCTGCCTCTTTTAAGATTAGAAAAACCCATTAACATTATGACACTAAACTTAGGCACATTACTGTGAACACATTTATGAAAACACACTGATTTTTTGAAAAGGTTGTGTAAACATGTTCCTCTAATGGATGATATCCTTTTATTTGAGTGGACACGAAATGATCTGCTTAAACAAAAAGAGGAGTCAGTCACTGCCTCCTGTGGCACAACTGCCCCATTTCCACTGCTTAGAGTGGAATGAGTGATGTGCCAAAGAATTAAAATAGACCATGTACACAGACCACTGTATACATTTTTAATGAAATTAATATTTCAATGCATCCAGGCACTCTTCAATAAGAAATATTATTTCCAGTGAAACCTCGTTTGTGTTTCCTTGTTGGACCATGGGACAAATTAAACCAAGGTGTATCTTAGTATCAGGATCAGGGAGCTGCAGTGCCAGCAGATGCAATAAACGTCTCACATAAAAGAATAGCCACCGTTAGGAATATCTGATAAGGTGGCAGGCTGTGAAAGAGATGGGTCTGACTCATTATCATGGGGGGTGATTTTAATGATTATATTTCAACTGGTTTTTCCCTCTTCTTGAGAGCTCTTTCAACCTCTTTCAAGCAGGTTGTCATTAAGCCATGAGGTTGGCTCCCCCATACTGTTGCTTCTGGGGATTCAAGCCTCAGCTCACTGGGAGAGCTTCATTAGGCTGGGACTTTGTGTGCTGGACAGAGGACAAGTGAGGACACAATGGGGCTCAACAAGAGGATAATGTGCATGATGATGGCCACCTCTGTCCCTCGTCGCCTAACGCCCGCTCACCAGTAATTATGGTTCAGACAAATTAGGACTCGTTCTCGCTTTTACTTTTCCCTCTTCCTTCAGCTAAGCTATTAAACTTTTATTTGTAAGACATTGCTTAAAGCCATGAAAGAGAATTCAAAAATTCCTCATCGCCTATCTGTAATTTATTAAAAAAAAGAGGTAAATTATTAGAGGAAAAAAATCTACAGCGCATTTGTGTGAAGGTATCTCTTCTCAGAACGGCGGAGAACATTTTTAATGTGGAACCACTGACACGACAAATACAATACCTTGTCACACAAATGAACTGAAATCAGCACGCTGTTCAATGGATGGACAGTGTGGAGACAAAAACTACTGTGACACACACATAGTATACATTAATTCTCTTTCTCAGTTTCCTACTAAATGTTCTTTTTGACCAGACATATAGCTAAACGTCTTGCAAAAAACAAAACCCTCTTTGTAAAACATTTATCAAGATGTCATCACGCTACAAGAAGTAGTTGCTGAGAAATGTCGCTTATAAGGAATAAAAAGTGCCAAACCAAGTTGTTTTCATATAACATCCTCAGTAACGCCACAAAAGAAAAGTTGCCTTGAAAACAAGTTTAACAATAGAAACAGGTGTGTTTGTGCATTTCTTTCTCTGTATATTAATGAAAGCAATTTACATACAGCTCCTTTTGCAGAATTAGGCAAGGGGACAGCAAAATTTACTTAAAATATTCTTTGTCTAAAAATGTGGCTCTTAGCAATTTTCCCTCCTCTGTTGAAGGTTGTTTTTTTTGTTTACTTTTGTTTTTAGCTTAGGTTGCATCGATAATAGTCATATTTTAAAGTTTCAAGGCTAAGATGCTACTGCGAGAGGCAGCAGGTCATCTTATTAGGACCAGTGTGCAAAGAGAGGACTTAAACAAAATGTACAGGAACAACATGATCAGTATTATTCCCTTACAGATTTCTGTATTTTATACAAAGGCATTTTCAAAAATAACCAACAAAAAAAGAAAAAAAAACACTCAAACTTCACAGTGAATGAATTTCACTGTACGTGAAAGAGCAGGATAAAGGTCAAAAGGACATAGAAGACTACTTGCCTTGGTTGCACAGCGAGCCGGTAAAGCCAGACAGGCACTCACAGTGGCCCGTGACATGATGGCATGGCCCGGTGCTGTGCACACACTGTGGACACGACTGGCTGCAGCGGTGCCCGTAGAACCCCGGAGAGCAGACTGGAGGCAGCAGAGTGTGGCAAGAGACGACAGAGAATCAGTCACCAGCGTTGGATGAAACAAGAGGTATATAGTAATGAAACAAAGCATGACAAGAGTGATCAAGGGAGTGCAGAAAAATCAAGGCTGCGAGAAGTAAAGCAGAAAAGACAAGGAGCGACAGCAAAGGCAGGGGAAAAGTATAAAAGTCAGTCTCCATTGTAATCACTGCCATTTTATCTGCAGCCAGAGACAGAATAGTAAACGAGTTAAGAGCATAGTGAGTCTGTTTTACGTCAAGTCATGAGAGCAGCCTGATGATCTATATATGTGAGGAGACACACAGCTGTGTTAATAATGCAAATTTCATTGAAAGAATGTGAACTGAGAGATATATAAACGGTGGTGCAAAAGTTATTATATAACACTTTATGCAAAGATTGTGCAACCATTATAAAAAGCTGCAATTTATATTAAAAACATATTTTCATTCCAGCGCTACACATTCTAAGAGCGCCTTAGGAATACTTACACTATTTTCACAGCCAGTGATTCGGAGAAAACTGTCAGGGGACAGCTGGGTATTTCTAAAATAGAAACCTTTTAGAAACTGACAAAACAACCTCAGTTGTAGCTTGACAAACTTGCAATGTTAAGTTTACCCAGTGGATTTTATTTTAAGCACCAGGTGTGGTGCATTTTTATCATCCTCTGGAGAAGCATGCAATTAGTTAACAATATTTCAGTAAGGGAAAAAGTGCAAAACTGCAGTTACGAGGTTTCTACCTGACGAGAAAATTATCTGTGTAAATATTGAGTTTGGAGGAGTAACCATTTCCCCTCTCTGTCTCTCACACACACGGCGTGTTTAAGTCTCTCCACTCAAATTGATGTTTACAGGTTTGAGACAGTGAATTCACTCCCAATCAGTGAGTTCATCACTTGAGAGCACCTTCAGACAGACCCCATTCGGAAACCAGAGCTGGCACTCCCAGTGAGCATACCCTCTGATGAGCCTCAGGCGAGGACTGTGAGTCTCCCACTGTGAGGTGGTTGTTGAGGACTGTGCCAGAAGGGGGTGAGAAGTGTGTCAGTGTGTGTGTATGTTTATGTGTCTGGGGGAATGCCATTGGGGCAAAGACACTGTGATTACATGATAGCTGTGATGAAGGGTTTACACTCAAGCAGTTATGTCCAACAACAATTCTTCAAAGATCAAACAAGGTCAGTGCTGTGATGGAGTTTGCAAGTATGATGGTCTCAGTGAAACAGATTTATTTCCTAAGGGTTTAGATAAAAAGAAGTTGCTTCGAGAAAGAGGCTCACTTCTTTTGCAGGACGTCCCTCTGTATCCAGGTGCACACACACATGTGCCGTCCTCGGGAGAGCACGATCCTCCGTTCTGACAGGAGCAGCTGACTGAACAGTTGGGTCCCCAGAAGCCTTGTGGGCACACATTATCACAGTGGATTCCTGCAGGCATGTTACCAAATCTTCAGTGAATGCATATTAAGAAGGCAAAAGACTGGTAAGCTGATAAATTCTAAACAGAGTGCCATCTGTAAAAACACATCATTAAGGGGCAGCATTCACAATGCTTGATCATTGCACATCTTTTCAGGGTTATTAAACTAACATGAATCATTGACTTATTTTAGTTTTGAATAAAGAAGCTGCAGTTTGGAGGGTGTTTTTTTTTCAGCCCATCTTTCACACTCTGCTTCTCCTCTCCAAATGTATTTTATTTTTGATCTGACTGGAGCTCCTTGCCAGTGCACTGTGTTGATTAACAGGGTTGGGTCTCAAGAGAGGCCAAGCTTGTCTCCCATTCTCTTTCAGCAGAGCAAGGGTAGTGCATGGAGCTGAAGGGAAGTACTCAGACCACAGTCTGCAAGTGTCACAGTGTCTTTTTTTTTTCTGTGGCTTCAACCAAATGCAAAACACTGCATCCATACAGGGCTCTCACTGTGAATGCATTAGCATGCCCATCAGAGCGCCATGTTTTCCTTCAGAAAAAAAAATTCACGCGTGCCGTTCTACATGTATACAGCCGGGTTTAGAAAGTGTGGCATAGCCCTGCAATTGCACATGCACACGGTCGGTGTCACACAGTCGCACAAATGCATGCAAACTCTGCAACCTTTCAAGCTTCAGCCCTCAGTTCGAAGCCTCATTTGAAATTTCCTTTGAGCGAGAATATCTGAGAATGGTGTGGCAATTAAAGCGGCATTAGTGCAGTACCTTTGAATTAAACCTGGACTAAACTCTGGGGACTAATGTTATACGGTAACCATGGCACCTTAAGGCTATATAGGATAGGAAATGTTAAGTCTGATGAGTGGGGGGCTAGATGGGTGTGGGGGGTACAGTCGCAGTGATTAAGTCAGAAGCTGTGCCATGGACATCAAAAGGAGGGCAAGGCTTGTGCAAGTGTGTTTGAGGTTCTGCTAGGGCAGGCAGGAAAAAAAAGAAAAACAGTGGCTGGCTTTACTGTCAGAAAATGAATGCGGACAGAGCATCACATTTTTCAGTCTAATGGTGACAAACAGAGGGGCTTTGGGTGCCTAGTGAGGGAGAAGAAGAAAGAGTGAAAGAAGCCAGAACTGAAGTCTCTTCAAAGGAGGCTTTTCGCTGAGAAGTGCCAGAGGTCCTACTATCCAATTTGTACAGTGAGCACAGCGAAGCAAACCTCTCTCTCCCTTTTTAACTCTCTCTCTCCTAGTGCATGTAAACACACATCACATTACCTGCTTCGTGTCATGGACCAGAATCTCTACAGAAATAAAAGGCAAAGGTCTATTTAACATGGTCTAGCACGATGCCCTCTGCATCAAGTGTCTAGTCAGAGAACTTTTTTAAATCTTTGTTGGCTGATGTCAGGCTCACGACAGTTCAGTAACAATTCTGTGGGTCATAGTCGGCCTAGCCACTTAAGCGCGCACACTCCTAAAGTCAAGCTTCTTGACAATTTAGGCAAGCCTCACAATAGAGCCAACACCAAGTTGACAGCAAAGTAGAATGCAATACCAACCCTGGCACACTCAGTGATATGACAGTGTTTACAAAAATAGCTGTAAACAGACATTTCACTCCATCCCTGACTCAGTCCTGTGACGAATCCCACATAGCCCTCTCTCTAGGTGCTCCTTCCTTCAGAGAGACCGCTGTCAAGCCGCTGCAATTTAAGTATGTATGTGTGTGTTTGTCCGACCCACTGGGCTGCACGCTGCCCCCAGCTCTGCACCCTGGTGACTCAATTAAGGCTGACAGATGGTCCCGACCTGTGCGGGATTCAGAGCATGAGAGGCCCGTTTTGCCGGCTCCATTCTTGCAGATAATAAAACCCACATTGTTTCCCAGAATAAATGCCCGAAGCTCGGGAGGCTGAATGGAGTGGGATGCTGAGAGCTCACAGGCTTGACCTTTCCTGCTGAATCTTTTTCCCTCTCCGACTGCACCTCTCTGCCCAAGCTCAGAGACCAGGTCCTTTGCTAGCCCCCTGTATTTGACATTCAGATGCGACGCTTCATTTTTGAGCATAATGACTCTCACCCTTGCTGTGACATTCATACTTTCCAACCTCCAAGCTTTTTCCCTGTAAGCAAATGGTTTAAATGACAAGAAACAGAGAGCGAACATATGGACGTGCAAACCCCCCAAAAAACGAAAAACTATTGCATCTAGAGGGGATCAGATTCCAGTGGAGAGCTTGTGATAGCAAAGAACGATTGATACTCTGGTGAATAAACACGGCAGCTGGTTTAATCAAATTTCCCAATAAAATGCAAACTCTAATAAACAGAACCAAAAATAACAATATCACAAGACATATCTAAAAATCTTGAGAGCAATGTGGGCCAATTATTTGATTCAGTTTGCAAATATTTAGCTGATGATTCAGTTCAGTCCTTGTGTGTAGCCGGCATCATATAATATAAGCATGATTGCATAGCAGCTTCCAGCGTGCCAGCCAAGAGAATTAATTTAGAGCTCAATTCTCAACATCTCTCATTCGGCTATGCCACCGGCGCAGTGGCAAAACAAATTGAACATTTAATTAACAAAACACTGTGTAGACATTCTGTAAACATACTGTACTGCACAAGCCATGAATGCTGCAGCATATTTTCCTGTTATGGTAAATCAGTGTGTCTGACTGGCATCTAATGTCTTTGATTTTCAGCTAATGAAGATAACTACTAAAGACGGGCCGCTTCTGCTCCTAAAGACAGACTACTGTGATTTTGTTGTGAAAAAAGGAGTACAAACCTGTCCAGCCAGGGTAGCAGCGACAATAACCGCTCACTGGGTCACAGCCATCGGCGTGGCTGCAGTCGCAGCGCTCACGGCACTCCAACCCATACGTACCCTCCTGACAACGACGATAATAATAAGAAAACTTGATCTAACTCTTCTAAAATACAGCACAATGATGCAAAAGATTTAGCTGGGTCTTCACATCAATCTCTCAGTTAAAAAGAAAGAAAGACAGACTTACAGGGCAGGGCTCGTCACAGTGCTCTCCTCTCCAACCAGGAGAACATGTGCAAGTGCCATCTATAGGATCGCATGCAGCTCTGTTGCTACATAAGCATGTCTGATTACAGCCCAGACCCCAGGCACCACTGGAACAGAGGATGGAGCAGTCCACACCCTGCCAACCTCGAGTAACAGAGAGAGAAAAATCAAACTATAAACATTTATACAAGAAAAGCGACATGAAGGCAGTTGCTTTATATTAAAATTACCAGACAACTGAACAGTCTAAATCAGGGATTTCAGCTCATTTTATATCATTGGCCTCATACAGTCCACTTTGATCTTGAGTGGGCTGGACGAGTGAAACACTCCTTTCTATGAGTGCAAAGAAGTTTAACTACCCACTTGATCCATGAGATATCTTAATAATAGAAAAAGAAGTGCAATGTCAACTGTGCATCTCAGTTTTTCTGCACACCAAAGGAATTCTGCTCTGTCATCACGACTCTTTCAGCATAAATTGCAAGAAATGTGTAAAACTTCAGAAAAAGTTCTGCAAGGTCATTCACAGAAAATGTTGTATTTTATAATTACTGTGGACCCATTGTAATAAACTGTCATTTCTATAATAGTGAAAGGAACAAAAAAACTGGAAGCTTACTCAAAATTAATTGTTTATCTATAACTTTGTTGTAAAATCAGTGATCATGAGGAAGGTCTTCATCTGAAGAAAAGATGGAAAACTTAAGAAACAGCTGTTTAAATCCTGAAAATTAGGTCCTCCATCACATTTTTAAAATCATTCCAGTAGGCTGGGCCGATTTTTGCCCTCAGGCCTTATGTTTGACATCTTTGGTGTAAATAATGGTGAGCTACAATGGTTTTTGCCCTTGTGCTTGAACCCTAAAGATTAATTTAAATAAACGTGATATGATTCAGCTGCAAAGAGAAAACACACCTCTAAGAATGGCAATGTATGAATGAGCACAATAACTATCGATGGACTTGTATAAATTTATTCAGTCCTACTGACTTTGGAGAGTTCTTAAGTTTCTCTTCAGTGCGTCCAGTACAATGGGTAAAAGATTAAAAAAAAAAGTGGCATATTGATAGCATCTGGACTTTGGTAACCTCTTCAGTTGTTTTATTGTGTTCAAATATAATAAAGTTTTTACTTCCAGAGAAATATATCTATATGTCCTGGATATATTGCCCCCAAAACATTGAATAGACTTAACTGTTGGCAGTCAAAATTTACGATTCCTCTATTAACCCACGAGTTAACATCTGTGTGCATGAGTGAAATCTCTCAGGAATAATTGATCTGGGTGGTACTATTGACTGTGTATACTGTATATTTGGTGCACACTTATTATTTTTATCTTTTATCTGGTGGAAAACAATACAATCTGAGAAAGGAAAATGTTTTTATAGGCAATGAGAGGTTAGAAGGTAAGAAGGATTTGATATCAGTGAGACATTTATGCAGTGCTGTGTAAAAAATCTTGAGCCACCCCTCATTTCTTTATCGTTTGCTTCCAAGGAGCCAGACTTTCTTGTAATTTTTAAAGTGGCCTGCAGCAATAGTTCTCCAGGCTTTCTGAAGGTCCTTGAAAGTTCTTCTTTTAACTTTGGCTACTTTTTCAGTCATTTTTCAGTGTAGTCTTTGCTGTCTTTCACAGAAATATATCGCTAGGCACCTTGTTATTAGCAGTCTGTCACAAAACCAATAATTTGTTCCTATTTCTTTAGTTGAATCGATGAAAAATGCTAAAGATAACACCGTTTGATGGCCATAACATAATATTTTTGCACCAGCAAGGTGATTCCCAAAGTGCTATTGGCCAAAAACGTGGCATATCTTGGCACTGTGTGCAGTGTGTCCTTAAACACTCTGAGGAAACTGGACAAGTGGAGCACAAAAGAAAAAGTGGCAGATCTGAGTTTAAAAAAGAAAAAGTTGGACTTAAAATCAGTTGCAACAGCTTTTTATTAAGGAATGAATCCAGATTTGAAGGTTTTAGTTTAGATTGTTGAGGAGGAGTTTAGGACAGAGGTACGATAGTGACCATATACAGCCACGTGTAAAGCATAGTGGAGGCTCCGCCATGATTTGGAGTTTGAGGTCAGTGGTATTGTGACTCTTGTCAAAATGTATCGCATTGTCAACAGAAAATAGCGTCATACATTGATCCATCATGTAAAACTATCTGGAAATTGTCTGATTGACAGTGGCTTCATTTAACAGCATGACAATGATTCTACACACACAATTGCATACTATCAGTCATAGATTGACCTCCCCACACCATGCTCGTTATTATTAAGTGCTCTTCAAGAAGCCTGGAGAACTATTCCCGAAACCTACATGAAGAAATGACAAAAAAAGCTTGCCTAAGAGAGTTCATGCTCTGCTGAAGAATAAAGGCGGTCATACCAAATTTCATTAGAATTGTACGAACAGTTTTTACCTTGCATGTTGCATTCTCATTCATGTTTGCACATTTCAATGAATCAATGCACCTATTTCACATTTTCCTTGAGAAACACATGGGAATGAGGGGTGGCTCAATGAGAGGTGCATTGTACCATAAAATTTTGTCTTAAGAAATTAAGAATAACTTATGACATGTATTATTCATTAGACTGGAAAATTGAACAGATTAAATAAAGTTTGTACAGGAAAACAACCCAATGCACAGAATGCAACTGAATTTAGTCCATAAGAATTTATGTGTACAAATGTTCATCCATCTGTTCATCTGCACAGCCAGTACACCTTATCTCATGATATAGAAGACTTGTGCTCAGCCTCATGATTCTTTACCTTCCTTGCAGAAGCAGGAGCCATCAACAGGAGAGCAGGATGCATGATTATGGCAAGAGCAGGTGGACAGGCAACTACGTCCAAACAGACCAGGTGGACACACTGTAGAGCAGTCCTCACTCTGTGGGAGAAACAACGCAAAGTTATGCAGCACACAGCCAACATAGCAATAAATGCTGACACTGGCAGACTGAAAAAGGAATAAAATAGTCTGAAAGGATGTGGACTAAAACACTGGGAAGGTTGACTCTATTTCTCTGTATAGCTTACTAAGCTGTTTACTTAAACAAGTCACACTGTGTCTGTATGGAGACTGAAATTGAATGGATTTAAGAAAGTAACTGAAGTTCAAAGGAAGGACCACACTTGATCAGCTCAAGCTATCTCTTCTTAACTTCCAATTATGCACTCTATATATTCTGACAGCACCTGCTCTGAGCCATGGTTTGCAACCCCATTTCACCCCATCTCTCAACTTCTCTCTTCATCTCCATCTCCCGTTAGATTTCCTTTTCAGCTGAGACGCAGGCAGGACTCCAAAGTTGGAGAATCCAGACTTTTCACCGCTTTCTCCAATCAAGCAATGACTAACTTTGCACTCTTATCTAATCATCTTCACTCTATTAATGCAATCTTTTGAGTTCTTAATAAACTAAAGTCACATTAAGTTACTGCCCTTGCCTTGTGAAATGACTTGCGGAAGATGTATTTTGCAAGCCTTACTCTATAAGGGTGTTCAAAATCTGACACTGTGGAGCCCACTCAAGCAGTCAAGACAATGTTGGCATGCAAATGGAACTGGCACACTGAAATGAAATAAAAATATGGCTCATAAGCATAACAAGTTGCTGTTTGCAAGCTTCCCATGGACTGGATTACACTACACTGCATTACATTACATTGAAAGGTAAAGAAGAACATCCTGGAGTTTGTCTGAGATCTGATTTATGGATGCTTATTGCGATGGACATTGGAGATGATGAAACCATCATGAATTGTGAGCCAAACTAAATCACAAAAATATGTAAAACATCTGTGTGTTCAAACAGACAAAGAAACTGGATTTTTGAGTTCGAACCCCTTCTGTGGCTTCAACTTTACCGGTTTGCTGAGTGAGCCAACTTAGCATGCCAAACGGCAGCAACAAAAAATGGCAACTTTTAAGATACTCATAATGTGTCCTTTGGCACCGGTGTCATTGACACACTGTCAGCAGCAGTCTTGGACACAGAGATAATGGTCCTCTTTTAATGAGCAAATAAGTCAGCATCAGGAGATTGAGGCTTGGGTTAAAACATGCACCTTCCCCACATTAACCCTGCCCATAAATGTGATGCCAAGGGGTCCTTTACAAGTTTGCCTGTGATCATTTGGGAGCAAAACCCATCTCATTGTTGCCATTACCCTGTGCGTCACAGCACTGATGGCAAAAAACACATTGTGCTCGTCTGTGAGACATTAGCAGCTTTCCATGGATTTGACAGCATGGGAATGCAATAGGGCTGAATCTTGTGGTGAGAACATTGTATCTACATTTTAGCACGTGGGCCCTCATCAGGCTAGATATTCAGCCAAAGCCACACTAGGCAAAAACAGCGATAAAATCCAAGTAAATGACTTCCACAGTGAAATGGATGGACAGGATCCCACAGGTATCACTTATAGACCAACTCTCTAACCTCTCACTCTAATATACCATAGAAAAGATTGGCAGCCACATTGGCACAGCCTTTTAGTGTTGTTGCATTAAAATTAAGTATCTGGTAAAGGACATGAAGTACTCCGTCTCTGTCCTCTGCATCCTGCTGTCATTAGAATTTCTCTGCTTTAAAGGCTGAGCACAACCCACCTCCACCGCTCTTGTCCCTCCCTCAGCTAGAGATCACAGCCAGTCTATGGATGCCCACACCCTTTGTTTCAAACCCTGACTTGAGTGACAGGTGACACAATGATTTAGAGTTCCAATTAGAGGCCCAGAGGAGTCCTGAGTGGCTCTTGCTTCGCTCACCAGAGATCTGGGGGACTGCTGGCTGCTCACTGCTCTCATTATCATTTTGAACTCAGTTTAAACATGAGGCAGGAGGAGATGTGCCAGTGGACGCCAGGGGCAGAACACACATCTTAAAACATCTCTCCTCCCCGTACACCACATAAAAGCGCCTGTCTGCGAATGAAATTTTTATCAATCGGTTGCAATAACCTTTGTTCTGCCGCAAACGACAGCTTCAAGACTGCTAACAATAGCAGTTCAGTTACAGTTGTTAAGTGCGGCAAGAAGTTCGACCGGCTGGGGGGTGGGGGGTGGGGGAGGGCTGGACAGAGGGGGACTGGCAGGGAGGTGCAGTCTTTCTTCAGAGCTCAGGCAATTTACTGGTGACTGGACTCATGGATAAAACGTCATACAGCCACAAATGACCATGGATTTTGCTGCCTCCATGACTGCGTCGAATTCCACTTGGTTTCCCCCCTCACAGTGCGGACTCCAGTGGTTGGTCTGTTCTCAAGTGGGGAAAGGCAGCTCTCTCATTAGTCGACTGATTCATATTCCTTCTGAGCTGGGAAGGATAGAAGTCTGGATGTGGAGAATCATTATTAATACACGGGCTGTCAGTCCATTGCATAGGAGCAGCAGGACCTTACATAACTACACAGCCGATAGAAGCAGTAACCAGACCAGACCAGGTCGTCCTTGGCCAAAGCACTAAATTCATACCTATTAGTATCTTAATGTAATTGGAGTGCATTTTTTCCAGAAAGCCACTAGCTGACACAACATTGATCAGGCTGGTACCCTTCGAGACTAGATGCAAATGGCACCACTAATTACCAATCATTCTCACTCCTTAACAGTTCATCTAACTGCTGGGTGAGTGAGTGCAGTTTAAAATTCATGCAGCATGGTTGAAAATGAACCTCTGAACCTTCTGATGAGGAGAGAAATCCCTGAGAGATAGGAAAATTGTTTTCACCACCTACAAAGGCAGACCGGAATCCATTCCTAATGCATTCATATTTCACATAAAGCGGTACCAACAGAATCTGTAGAAAAAAAGAAAAAAAAAGAAAGACACCTTACAGAGTCCACATGCTGCAGATTGCAAGGGACAATGCCTGAATAGGTAACATGTAATCACTTTGTCCCAGTCAAAAAGAGCATGTCCAATTACTAGAGCTAAATCAAGCGTGGAGGTGCTCAGTCTGCTCAGACACTTTGCTTGGTTTGCCCCCCGATGGGACTCCAGAACAAAGATGCAGTGGGGAGGCTTAGTCTTATCAGCTGTCCCCCGGGGAAGTGACTTCGCTTGCAATCATAGCCGCAACACCATCATCAACCACATTTTAAAAGCTCCATGTGATAATAACCATGTGTGATGCATGTCACACAATTACAGGTAGCAGCTACACAGCTCTACCTCTGTAACAAAGTGTTTGCACAGCAGCAGCTTTGTTCAAAGTACAAAAAAAAAAAAAAAAACTCTCCACACACACTCAAACACACCAATCCTCCATATGAGGTGTGTCTGGTCCCATCTGACTGCCTTCTTTTCTTTCCAGCTCCTGCCCTCTAGGTCTATTTAATGGATCTGGCAGTCCTTCCCAGCAGCCGCCAAAGAGAACAGGTGGAGCAAATTAAGACACAGTCTGCGGCCCTGCTCGGTAGCTCAATTCACCACAGTGGCCTGGTGTAAGACACAGGCAATTTCCACCGAAATGTAATGTTGGCAGGAATGTACCCTTGCAGTCGCTGTTGCTCTCTAACTTCAGATTGCAAGACAAGAAATACAATAGGGAAACTGATTGAAGTTACCCAACTAATTTGACAGTTGTAAGAGGGAACAATGTGGCTGCAACAAAAACCGACTAAAACGAAAACATATATAGGTCAAGGATTCAATTTTCTCCCAATTGGTCCAGGAGTACAGATCACTGATGCTACAAGTCAAGACATATCGACTGTATTTGTAAAATACACACGACCCATTATTAATGTCTGCACTGGGAGGTACCAGAGGATTTATTGTGATGCGGTAGAGCACATTTATAATAAGGCGATAATAAAATGTCTCACCTTGCTCTTGACTGTCTGTGTACAAAAAGCTTCTAAAGTGAAACTGGGACAACTTCCAAAAAAATTATGACCACACTGACACAAACCTTTTACAACAGCCACAAAAAAACATGAAACATAAGTCAAAGCTGCAACCTTCACAACTTGGGCTCATGGCGGAGAGTTTCGCAGCGTATGGTATGAGACATGGGAGTACAATTATTGGTTAGTGGAGATAGAGATATTCTTCAGTATATAAAAGATCACGAGGAGCGAGGTTACAAATACAATTAACCCTTGAGCATTTCATGAGAAATTAATGTAACCAATAGCATAATTACAAGTTGACATGGTAATTATAGCTGCGAATAAATTAAAATGGACATGCGAGTGTCAACGTGGTTTAGAACACAAAGTCATGGATGTTCAAGGACTGCTCTTTCTAAGTGTTTTAAATGCCGTTTAAGCTTATGCTTGTTTTTAATGCATTTTGAGTGCTCTTTTCTCTGTTTTTCCACCAACTTCTTTTTTCCTCCTTTTCCTTGAGTACACATTGGCTGTGTTTCGGTTTGCATAGCGTAACTGTGGCCCCACCTTGGCATTTTGGCTCTGGGAAAAGAGATCTAGATCTCATGAGATCAGGTAAAGGTCAAATTTGAAAGAAAATCTTTAATAAAACATTATCCTGAAAGTGGCCACAGATATGAGTACAATAAAATAGCAGTGAATGTACATGATACTCACCATGAACCCAGGGGCACATGTACAGGTACCCGTGACAGGATGACAGTCAGCTCCGTTGGCACAGCTACAAGTCAGCATGCAACCCTCTCCATAGAATCCAGGCGGACAGGACTCATTACAGTAAAGCCCTGTCCATCCCGCAGAGCAGGTGCATTCACCAGAAAGCGGGTGGCAGCTACAATATAATGAGAAAGAAATATGGGACAATGACAGGAAGAAAAAGGGTGAGGTGAAGTTTGAGCTCTAAAAGTATCAACACTTCATTCTTGAGCAGGATCAAAGTGTGAAGTCCGCGCCAAAAGCCATTCATCCATCTACGCGTCTACGTGCTCGTTTCTGATAGATGAGGTGTCCCTTTTCTCCTTCGTTCTGTAATGACTTCTATGGCCGATGCCCAACTCTTGCCGGAATCAGAGCATTAACATTGCATTAACTATGAATGCTGCTGAGAAATTATGAATGAAGCAAAGGTCGCGATTAAAAGCTAACTGGATGACATGGCTAAGAGGTGTCCAGACTTCAGAATGAGTGCTGGCATAGAGCTAAGATGAGACAAAATTGAGTTGCAGAAATCTTTATTCATATGGAGAGTCTTTGCTTCAGGGCTTGGTCAGAGCAAAGCTGTGTGTGGCCTTGCACTGATGTCTCACTTACCTGACGGTGTTGGTGGTGTTACAGGGGCAGTACTTGTCACAAATGAGGCCGTATAGACCTGGGGGACAGAATCTCTCCTGGCAATTAGGCCCTTTAAACCCTGTTTCACATAGACAGGCTCCATTGATATGGTGACACTTGGCTCCATTCTGACACTCGCACTTCTGGTTACATTGCGGTCCATAGGTGCCCACAGGGCAGTCATCCTGACATCTGGAGGAAAATTACAGAGCAATGACGGGGTCTTTTAAATTGCTGCTCTAAAAAATGTCAGGTACATGGGGGAAAAAATGAGTCAAGGCTTGTAACATGAAAATCTGATGTTGGAAATGTTAAAGATTGTTTTTGTGCATGTATGATATATATATATAGAGATATATACAATGTTAATTTCAACAATTGAATAAAATGAATTGAATAAAGAATAATCTGCAAAATCTCAAACTCTCCTTGGTTCCATCTTTTAAAATGTGCTAATTTTTCTGTCCTTTCTCTAGTTCATGTTTTAGGGTTTCAAACACAGACAAATCCCACCTTTCAGCTCTGTGAGTGCAGTTCAGTTAATAAATGATGGTATTTTTCAACAATGTCAATGCTTAATCACTACAGCATTAAAAAGCCTTTACAAATTGCACATGGTCACAACTACATGAAGGAAATTAAGTCAATTTTATATTTATTATGAGCCAATTTAGTAAAACTGAAACATTTCATTTTGGATACATATTTCATAGACCCTGAACCTTCTAAACTCAAAGGAAAAATAAATGCGGGCAAATATTTTACTCTAACCACTCTGTTCACATTTTAAAAGCATAAGATAAATATATAATAGGTTGCTTGTAAAGTTTTATTTGTATTATTATTTTATTGTTTTACGTTGGTGCCAGTCACCATCTGATTTTATAGCAGACTACATTTTTGTGTGTCTTCAGAAGGTTAGCTGTTAAATAACCCCCACTCACATCTTGCATCAGGCATTCTTAATAGTTCACATGACAGTGTGAGGCAAGGTCTCACGATGGTTTCACCTGAAACCTCTGCTGATAATGACACTCACCTTTTTCACGCCTTGGCTCGTGTGATGAGGCACATGATCAAGAGCGGGTCAACGACCCTCTTAAGGGAGAACTCCCACTAGGGTTTAAATACCTGGGACTGACCTGGTTGTGTAATGGTGTGGGGGATATTTTCTTGGCACACTTTGGACCGATTAGTACCAACTGAGCATTGTTTAAACAGCCTACCTGAGTTTTGTTGCTGACCATGTCCGTACCTTTATTACTGCAGTCTACCCATCATCTAATGACTGTTTCCAGCAAGACAGCACGCAATGTCACAAAGCTCAAATCATCTCAAACTGGTTTGAAGATGACAGTGAGCTCACTGTACTCCAACGGCCTCAACAGTCACACGTTCTCAATCCACAACAGAGTACCCCTGGGATGCGGTGGAACGGGAGATTCACATCAATACACGCAGCTGAAAAATCTGCAGCAACTGTGTGATGCTATCATGTCAATATGAACCAAAATCTCAGAGGAATGTTTCCAGCACCTTGTTGAATCTCTGCCACGAGGAAATGCGGCAGATCTGAATGCAACAGGGTGTTTTTGGAAAGTGCATGTAAATATAATACTAAAAAACAATAATGTTTTATCATATTTTACGCAATGCAAAGATTGTTTAAGAATTGGAAATTGAAATAAAACTCCAGCCCCAGCTTCAATACATTAAATAATATGGATATATTACTAACAGTGTTGCCACAGTTACTTTGAAAAAGTAATATATTACGGACTACTGATTACTCCTTCCAAAAGTAACTTAGTTACTTTACTTTAGAGCAGTGCGATATGGCCAAAAATATTTATCACGATATATATATAAAATTTGCGATAACGATATAACTGACGATATAATTGATGCGAGACAAAATACAACTCCACAACATTACTAGCGCAAAAAGACAACCTTCCATTTATTTTCACTTAAACAAGAAGCTGGTTTTTATGTACATTAAAGCTTTATAAAAATGTAACAGTGCAAATGCAAATTCCTTGCTGAAAGTTTAACCAAAAGGCATTTCCAGTAGAAATGGGCTGACATATCCTGAGCATAACCATGTATAATATCCACTGAAGTTAAAAAGAGGTGCTTTGCAACATTAAACTGCAGTGTGCAGTACGTATTTTTCGGACCATAAGGTGCACGGGATTATAAGGCACATTAAGCGAAACAAAGCAGTCAGATAAATCAAACTTTATTAAACTCATTCTTCTTGCTTCCTCCACTTCTGTACCATTGATTCATTAATGTTGAATTCTCTGGCAGCTGCTCTATTCCCATGTTGTTGCAGTATATTAATGACTAACCTCGTATTGTGGATGGATTATCTCAGTTGTTCTCCTGACTGAAGTTTGGTCCGTTTACAGCATCCTGCCATGCGATTGCATTTGTCTCTAACTATCAGGAACCTTAACGTTAACTTTTATAAGTGGAAAAGTGTTAGTGTTCGTCCTCCAGCTTCACTGTTTATGTTATGCTAGCATAGCTGTGTCGCATCATTATATACCAACTAGCCCAACTTCAGTAACCCTACAAACGTCACTGCTGTTTAGTTTCCTGTCTTCATTTATGTTGGACATGATAGCAGAGCTGTACATTTGAATTTTTTCAGAAATCTCAGCGGTAACTAGCGAGCTAACTTCCGCTAGCGTCCTGCTAACTTCTAACTCCCTTAAATGTAATACATTTTGTTTTCATGGATGACTGGAAGTTAAACTTCATAGTTACACCTGGTAAAGCAGCAATGCTGATCGTTTTATTAAAGATGAAAGAATTGAGACAGTTTTTAACTCTCAGTGATGCTGCAGTGTTCGTTTGACCTAGGGTTGCCAACCGTCCCTTAAAAAACGGAATCGTCCCGTATTTAGAAACAAAAGTACACGTCCCGTATTGAGCTAATAAGGGACGCACTTTGTCCCATAATACAGTGAGAATCAAAAGTAGTCTATAAATGTTAATGGAATTAACGCTTTGTTTGAAAGCATAATTCCCAGCCCCTCTCCTGCTTTGTGACCAATTAGCTGACAGCACACTTGACAATTCAAGTATGACAAGTCAGATTACCGTTCATCTCATTGGTCGAGGAAAGGTCGCTTACGGAGAAAATACCGGAAGACAACAGATGACCACAACAAGAAGCATGGCCAACAGGGAAACAAATGCCGACACTGCGGTGCAATTCTCGGACGACAGTACACCTAAAGCTGGACATACACTGTGCGATTTTCAAACTGCACGATTGACTCACAGGGGTTATAAGTTTATAGGTCACGAGGCAGGGTCTCACACTATACCGCCTGATGCTCTGATGCGACCTGAGTGCTCACACTGTGCCTCCATAAAATGAAGGTTATAATAGAAAATCTGTCGCTCGCTCTCCCTCTCTGTCTTTCACTCAGACAGATACGCACACCACCACCATCAACTTTGCTAAATTGCTAATGAAAGACATTGATCAGGCAGCTGTGATTGAGCAGCAATGTAAATCCAACTATTTTCACGGTTGTTGTGGTCGTGATAATTTTGTGATGCCACATCGAAAAGGCTCGGATGAGCTTTCCAAAGTTCTACAAGTTGTGCCTCCATCGCTTGTGTCCAGATCACACGCTGCACTGCCGTGCTGCAACGTCTTTTTCACCGACGTTTACGTGTTTGCGCGTGAGCAGTGTGAGCAGCTGCGGTGACACCCTCACTTTTTCCATAGGCATGCTTCTAATGGTGGGCGCATGAAGAACATGAGGGGCGTGAAAGCTCGGGGAACCCTTAACCAATTTCTTGTCCACCAGGCCACAGCAGAAGCAGATATGGTATGTAAACATTGGTTTGTTTTTTTAAACCCTCTGGTTAAGGTTAATATGGGCATGTGCAGTGAATATCAGCGCTATGTGGCCAGAAGTGTGATAATAAAATTTATTTTGTGTAATAAACAACTGCAAGGATAGATGATTACAACAAATAGATGACTAATACATAAAAGTAATACATAGATGAATAATGATGATGAGTTATGATGCGTAATCATGGGAACAAGCAGGTTTACAAACAGAAGCAGCTGATTAGCATTAGAAAAGCTGAAATAATACCTCAACTGAAGCCAATTGTACTAAATGCACTATATGTGCACTGTTACAAGAATATTTTTGTTCTATTGCTTTCTATTAATTTATATAATTTTAAGTTAAGCAGGACAGAGTTCTTTTAAAGAAAGATTTACTTATATTCTCAAAAGTTAAGCATGACAGGCTTCTGTTTAAAAAAGAGACCTGTTTTACTGTGTTAATGTTGTCATTTTGAGCTAAAAATAAATGGCTAAATGATCAGGTCCAACTTAAATTGCCTTACTTTCTTGCAAGTAATTGATTTAAGTTAATCAACTTGAAAACTTTAATAAGTTTATTAAGTGACTTTGATAAACTTAATTAAGTTACTTGTAAATAGTTATTTAAATTGGATTCCCCATTCTCTTTTTTTCAGTATATGTTGTCATTGCATGTTATGGGGGAAACAGTAGACTGGAGTGAGTAAACCAGTGGTTGTACCTCATTAACAGAAGCTTCTCAAACCCTTTGTCAGAAAGTCGATTTCTTTTAGGCGTGAGCACCAAACCTCCCAGACTAAAAAGTCGCTCCACAGGAGCACTTGATGGGGTTGGAGTGTTATACTTTAAAAAAAAAAAGTCTTTATGCTTGAAAACGTATGCAGAATCTGAAGGTCGTAGCCTGACATCAGGTAGTCCATGACTTCTTTTTCTGCAGAATAGGTCTCCTCCTCTGGCTCTGCCATCTCACCTTGGCTGCTAGATGTAGTAGCACTGGGCACACTGGCAGGTTTTTTTGCCAGAGGAGCAGTGGTGCAACACTCTGCTGTCAGAAGTTGTTTTACTCGCTCCCTCCTTCCTGTATCTCTCAGCCATCGGAGTTTGAATTTTGGACAACTGGCAGCTGCGAGAAGGGCATCTTTGTCGTCTAGCACACCGGTGAAACGAGTCTGAATAGCCTAAAAAACATAATCGATATTTTTATGCCTACAATTTAATATGTTATTGAATTATTTGCAAACCATGCCTAATATGAGATCAGTATTATGGATTTATTTTGTTTTAGGTTACTTGTAAACATTTTAATTGTTGTAATCTTATTTTTCAATGATAATTAATATTCTGTTCCATGTTTGTGAATTGTATGAAGCAAAAAATTTGACAAATTTAAAGATAGAGCGTACCTGTACAATGGCATCTGGAAGGCCTGCAGTCATCCTGGAGAGGTCATCTTTCACAGCCTGGGTCTTCTGCATCAGAACTTCAAGTGTTGGTAGTAAAGTTCCATATGGACAGTCGCCTTGTAAAATGTCCAGTGCTGCAGTCAGAGGTTTCATGGCCATGCAGTACTCATGCAGGAACTGGTATTCTTGATCTTTGAAGCACTTCAGTCCTAGCTTTGTGCACAGAGTATTCAGCTCACCCATGGGGATGTCTGCAATTCTCTTTACAGCATCAAAAAAGGAATTCCACCTTGTGGATGTTGGTATTAGGAGCTTTCTTTTACTGATTTCTTCCACTGTTTCTGATGCAAGTGTAGATCTACTCAATTTGGTCCGAAGAGCTGTGCATTTTGCTGTGCTGCTCCTATACACAGCCCTGCTCTCTGTGTGCAAATTATGTTGATGGTGTGCAAAGCACACCTGCGGTGCGGGGGAAGAGACAGCTGACCATCACTTTCATTCTGACAGATCAGAAAAAGTGACATCATCGTCTTTGGGGGTGGACTCTTCTTCCTCCGTCTCATCATCGGACTCCGTGACAGGATGATAAATTTGAAACGCCTTAACAAAGTTGGATCCATTGTCAGTAACTGTTGCAACTACTTTGTTGAGTAATCGTTTTCGATTTCTGTACCAATGACATCATACGTGTCTACCACGAATCCGCCTACATGCTAATGCAACCTTGTAGCGCTCTAATGTGGTTCTACTGATCCAGTGGAGCGTTACTCCCATATAGCCTCTGTTGTTAGCAGTCCAAATATCCGCGGTAGTTGAAACAAAGTCAATCTCATTCAGTGCGGCCTTCAAACTCCTTCTCCAAGTAAGAAGTAAAACTCGTTCGGTGAGGCAGCTCGGCATTAGAAGTAGGGATCTTTTTTATTATGGCACGAAACGAGGGCGAGTCAACAGTGTTTATAGTTAGCATTTCTTCTACAATATACTGCGCGACCAACTTCTTCAATTCTTCATCACTTACTGGTTTTGCACCAAAGTCCAACTTTTGTTGTTTGAGGGTGTAGGACCTCCTGCGGAAGTCACGGCTCTCTGCTTCGGACCACTTGGTGGGACTCTCTCTGTGAGTTTGACTGTGCCGTGCTGCGACTCCAAATGTTTCCTTAAGTTTGACGTAGTGTTTTTGAAGGTAGATAACACTTTTTCGCCAACACAGAGTGTACAACGAACCTTAATATTGAAATCTTTAGTTGACAGAAACTCAAAATAGTGACCATATTTCCAGCTAAAGAACGAACATCTCTCTCCCTCCATTGTTGTTTACACTTTTTTACGTCACTGGCTGCTTGTGAGCGGGAAATGTGACCTGTCGCTTATGTGACGTTTCACGACACGTATGCGTTTGTCATCCGCTGAGACGAAAAGAAGAAACCAAATCTTTTTGCTTAAAAAATAGTAACGCACAGTGGTTTGGACAAGTAACTTTAATCTGACTACTGTTATGGAAATAGTAACGCGTTAGATTAGTCGTTACTGAAAAAGTGGTCATATTCAGAGTAACGCGTTACTAAGCAACGCGTTACCGGCATCACTGATTATTAACACTCTTCTTACATTTTAAAGTTTTTAATAATGAATGTTTACTTTAAAAAATACTTAGAAAATACTCATAAATCCATGGTGAAATTTTAACGAGGACAGCGGGCCTCTGCTGTCAGTACTTCAGCGTCTCTGCAGGGGTTGGACAAGACTCAGTAATCGTCATCAGCTAAACAGAAACTGCTTCAGTTTTCTGCACATAAACTAGTGTAGATCCGAAAATGGATTTCTTCATTCACTTCAATATACTGACTTAAGTATACAGTCCTGGTGGAGTTTCAGTCTCAAGAGTGTAACAAAGCTTTTACAAATAGCTCAATTACAACATAAAATGGCCAAGTTATGTTTCATGTTTAAATTACCCTAGCTTTAGTTTTATCAGAGGACAATGGTATTATTATACTAGACACACGTGGGTGGGGGGTAACACAATCTTAGATTATTCCTGGCAGTTTAATTCACCTGCCACTGACAAAATGAATGAGGGCAATTTTGCAAAATAATAAAGTAAAGGAAAAGGTCTTGTAAAGGAAGTGTTTCCATCCAAGAGACAATTGCTTTAGCTGAACTAATAAACCCAGGCTGCTCTGGGCTGCTCTGGCAGGCACGAGGAACTAAAAAGATCTGTGGATTTCAATGAGACCTTAATATAAGCCCATTACTTATAATTAATGAGCAGACTCCAAACAGCATGTAGCTCATGGTGAGATCAATGGATAGGCTGGGAGTGGATGAGGATGAAGGCTGAAGACATGAAACCTTGCTGGCCAGCATGAAGTACAAGATTAATTAAACATACAACGCCCCTATTAAAAGCTTCCAATCTACCTTCAAATGGACTAATGGGCATTTATAAATGCTTATTTCTCTCGAGTATGAGAATATGCTAGGATTTCCTTTATCTTTTTAAAGAACAGCCAGGTTTGTGCCTCATTTAGAAGTCAACAAAGAGAATGGGTCAATGAGTGACTGTTAAATGCGGAACTGCATGAAACCATTCTTTTGCATTAAATACTAATATCAATAAATCATGCCTTTGTATGACCTATTTTAAGTAGGAGCACAAAAGTTTGCTGATAGAACTTCAGAAAAAGCCTTTTTGAATAATAACTGAGCGGTCTGTTTGTCAGCCGGACGTGTCACCTGCATACCTGCGTCCACTGAAGCCGGCTGTACATTGGCACTGCCCCGTGATGTGGTCGCACATTCCACCGTTACGACAGGAACAGTCTTTGCTGCAGTTGATGCCGTACTTGCCAAGAGGGCAGGGCTGGGCACACACTGAACCCTGTGAAAACAAGCCAACACACTTGATTGGTGTTTGGACAGTTCAGACCTATTGTTAATGTCCTCCTATGTGTCTGCAGATATGTTTACTTTTTCTTCTTTCTTTTTTTTTTAGAAGGCAACTGAAAGCATTACATTCAAGAAGTAAGTTCAAAACTGTACACTTTACTGTGGAAGATATTTTCACATATTATCTTCAGAAAGGTCAATGCAGAGTTAATTTTCACATGGAAAGTTCACAGTAGTCAGACTCCACACTACAAATTCTATTTTTTTTTCTCCTTCCAGGGTGCAGAGACACAGCATTCTCATTTATTGTACTTTTCCCCCTCCTAAACTTACAACAGCGTTCAAGTATTTTCTCCCCTCGGGCCTTTGCTTTTGCTTTTGTGACCTACCGTCCACCCAGCAGGGCAGGAACAATCTCCTGTGATGTGGTGGCACGTTCCTCCGTTCTGACAGGGGCAGCGCTGTTCACACTGAGGCCCATGACTACCGGAGGGGCAGCGCTCCCCACAGCTGTCAGCACACAAGTCAAAAGTATCAGATAAGTAACCTGTCTTTGCCTGCAGTTCTTTGCATCAGCAAGAAATTGGATATACACACTCACATTGCTACATAAAATGTGCCAAAAGAGTAAATATGATAGTGGTACTCACAAAGCCCCTGTGTAGCCTGGTGCACAGATGCACTCTCCTGTCTCGTGGTTGCAGGTGGCACCATTGAGACATTGGCATGGTAACTGGCACGCCTTGCCGTAATAACCATGCTCACAGGGCTCCTCACAACGCCATCCCTGGTACCCATCAGTGCAGACACAGGCACCTGTGATGGGGTTACACTTAGCCCCATTTTGGCACTGGCACCGATTGCTGCAGTGAGGTCCCCAGAAGTCACTCTCGCAGCCTGCAGGCACAGAGACAAGTGGCATCAAGCACACCAGAAAAAAAGAGGATACTATGCATCAGAATACACTCGCAAACACTGAAAATCATAACGGTCACATAAAAACACAATAAATAATAAAGTGACTCATTAATGATTGTTTGGAATAACCATAAAAGTTCATCATTAATAATAAATGATCAGGGGAAATCTTCCTCCCAATGAATTACTCTTTATTATAATGGTATGATTTGGAAGCGCTGTCTCAGACTGCTTGCAAATCTATCTCTATGCCTCCAATATTAATTTTCATCAGTTCAACAAATTCAAAATCTAAAGCTTTAATCTGTGTATTTTTTTTATCTTTTGAACATGTAACAGCAAACAAATTGCTGGATTTAATCTATTCACTCAATTAATTGAACATATTATTAAAATACTATCTGTGTACCAAAAGGCTGATAGTCTTCCTGTGGGCCACAGACCTCGATTAAAAACACATCAATAAAGCACACTGGTACCCGTGGTCAATGTTCCCTCTAATTTTTCACGTGTCTGAGCGAACACACAAACTCCCTGAGCGGTCCCTTCGACCACTGTGAGCAACAGCAGACGTGTGCACTGTGGTCACGGCAGCATCGAATCCATCCAAGTTACACGGTTTATTAAAATAATCAAATTACAGCATTTATGTTAGACTACTTTTAATTAACTGCTTTAGCCCACTTATAATGAAAATTTAAAAAAAAAAAATCTTGTTCATGACCTGTGCAGTACGTTAACACTATTGGAAGTAAAAATAACTTGAACTCCAATTTTGAAAACACAACTTTCTTTTTTAAATTTTTTTTTTTTAAATAAAGCTCTGACTTGTAATATGAGTATGAGTCTGTGGTCTGGGAGAGAGTCCTGTCTGCAAAATACAGTATATAATGACCAATGTTGGGCAATTAATTATATAGTTACTTCTTCAAAAAAGTAACTGAGTTTTGCAAACAACAAAGTTTTTTGCAGCTGTTTACCTAAAAATGCAGCCAGGGCGGTTTTTTTAAATAAACATTTCAAACTATTTACAGAACAATCAGCTGTTCTGCATCAAATCTGATGCCACACAAATCATTTGTGCCACTCCAAAAAATAATTTCTGTCCACTATGAGATAAAGGAGAACAACAGCCTGATACCTGCAGGCCTGACAACAGGAGATGTATCACTCCTGTAACACCTGTAACATTCAGTTGTCGCCTCATTGTTCTGACACACACACAACAACACTATTGACTACACTACACACTAACTACACAAGATTTGCGCTAAACAACGCAAATCTCTCACATCTCAAAACACCGCCATCACTCCTAAAACTCCCCTCTTCCTAAACAACTAAATGCCATGTTGCCATATCATTTTTTGACTGGTCGACATGGTACATTTTTCCACCAATAGGAAAGGCGGCGGGGGTCGGGAGGGGGGCTGTTTTTGCTCACAGGCGGAGAGCGCTTTCGAGCGTTTCTGCAGTAAATATAAACAACGACAGGAAAAAAAACAAAAAAAAAAAAAAAAAAAAATTTATAGTATTTCTTCCCGCAGTAAATATAAAATACATATATTATTTTATTTTTTATCATAACTCTGGTTTTACGTGGCCTATCAACACAATTTAAAAACTGGTATAAAGTCCACACTTTTTCCGTCAATTGTTCCGTCTGTCCTGCTCACATCTCCAATGGTTGTACACGTTGTCATTAACGTGGCTTCACTCCACATCAGCCACGCCGCTTTGCTAGCTAAAACACCGGTGTCGGCACATAAGGACGCTGTCATAGCCTGTCAACGACGTTGATTAGCTGCGTATATACGAATGTGAATCGCATCATTGGCTGGACTATGGGATAAGGTGGCATCGTTCTAATCCCATACTGGAGCAGCCAGTCACTTACTGACTAACACTGCAAAACAGAATTGTTAACGTATTTATTTTAATTTCAATTCAGGTTAGATTTTCTTTTCTTTTTTTTTTTGTGTGCACAACACAGATTTTCTGTGCGCAGAGAGCGTGCAGCAGTGCGCAATTGCACACGCGCGCAGCTTAGAGGGAACATTGCCCGTGGTGTTCCTTCGTTACCAAAACCAGTACACTGGCACTGCGGTTTATGGACTGATCCAATATGTTTACCATCTTCCTGTTGTAGCCAACAACAACAACATAGAATTTTCCTGCTTGGTAAGATGTTTGCTTTAAAAAAAAACCTAAATTATAAAATCACGGCACTGTTTAGATCTTCAGTGGGAATAAATTTCCTTGTGGCTCAATACCACAGAGTTGAGAGGTATAACAACAAATTGCTGGTTTTGGTCTTTCCAATGATTTTTTTTTCACTCCTGCTCAGGATTATATGAGAGCAGGTACTTTTATGAGGATGCCTTGAGCAAAAAACAGACAAAAGGCCCTCCACAGAGCTAACGCTGTCAAGCAATTGCTAAGAAAAACGGACACAGAGAGACAGGAAGAACGTGTGGACTCCCCAATGAAAAGATCTGATTAGAAATCAAAATGAGACAGTTCACTGATCTCCTGTTTCATACTCTCAAAAACTACCCATATATGCTTGTGCTTGTCCTATTATAAGGTAGCAACAATGTACAACAACATTTATATCTCGTGTCTGTATGAGTCAATACAAAAGAAAACAAGTGAAAGAAAGCTTCATTATTGTTAACTACTTCCCCAAAAGACATCCTGACCAACCATCTCTCTAAAAGTAAGTAAGTATATTAAGGTCTTTACCCAGGATACCTCACATTTTAATATGATTTTTTTTCTATTTGATATTTCCTATGTTGCTACACTAGCATTCAGAAAACCTTTCAACCTTTATCAATTGTGAACATTTCATAACTTTATGTTTAATACTGAACACGGCTGAAACTTCAGCTTTTTAACATTTTCTATCATTCTAGAAAATACCAAAATCCAACTTTACAGCTCTGCGGATGAAAATTTTAAAGGTTTTCTAACATCATCTTCATCATACAGTAATGGTGCCAAGGATGTGGGCATAATTTATATGTTGCAGTTGCTACTTTTAAAGCTGCATGCAAGGGGAAGAGCGACATCATAAAACAAACAGTCAGCACAATATCTTCTTCTTTGTGTGTGTCAGGGCACCTTAACCTACCGGTTCGAAACACGGACCCTTCACACAAGTGCATTTAACCTGTATTCTTTAAAATGGCCAGCAGGGGGTGATCCCGGTGGTTGAGAAAATTGCCTGTGACCTCACTTCTGGCTCCACTTATTATCCCTCTAAGCATTTTCAGAGGTGGTTAGCAGTGTTGCCTCACAACAAGGAGGTCCTGGGTTTGAATCCAACAAATGTAGCTGGGGCCTTTGAGTGGGTTCTCTCTGATTACTCTGGTTTTCTCCCACAGTCTGAAAGCATGCATGTCAGTTTAATTGGTAGGTGTGAGTATGAATGTGTGAATGTGTTAGCCCTGCAAAAGACTGATGAACTGTGCAAGGTGTATCCTGCATCTCCCGCTATAACAGCTGGGACCAGCTTCAACACCAACATTTTCCTATTGAGTTTATGGTCTCAGCAGTTTAATCTGTCCTGTAATACAATACTTAAGATCTCGTTTAGCATGGGAACCTGGCAACCTCATGTAGTCAGGACCTGTCTCATCTGATCTCATGACAACCTGTGACTGAAGATGAAGTTGCTGCAAATTTCTGCATGCAGTTACAAAGGCATGAATTTGGTGGTGCTGATCCTTCCAGCAACACCACATGTAAAAGCAGTCATTAGACTCAGTGTTGATATAAAAATGTAAATTTGCAGGTTTTAAATGTTTTGGTTCAAATTCCTTGTAGTGGACAGATGACAGCTCTGCGTTACCAACAAGCAAATAAAACGATTAAAAAGGTGCGAATACAGTTCTGTTACGATGAAATGGCGGTAAAATGTATAGCGTGAGACTGAATATATGTGATGTTGACATATCACAACCATCACAGAGAAAAATCTTAATAACACCCTGAAATGAATCTGCAAAAAAAAGAAAAAAAAAAGAGAAGCACATGTGCAAGCTGTTCACACCTTTCAGTGACTATACGAAAGAGCGAAGGAGGACTCAGAGACTAACACGAGGAACAAATCATTTTTCATATATAACAGTTTGATACTTTAATGGTTTTAACGCCTCTTTTCAGGTGGAACTTCAGCAGCCAGCTGTCAGAATGAAAAAAAAAATAAAGTACTTGAGACAGTCGAATTATCAAACTGTTGTAAACGTTTGCGAGCACTCATTTTTCACATTTTGCTAAATGCACAAGCTGACTAATTGTGCTGAACTTGGAGTAATATAACAGAAAAGTTTAATTTGGATCCACACCTGTATGAGACAATGGCGGCTCAGTGTTAAATTCAGTGGCATTACTAAGAAGTACCTGAGGGTATGATGTAAAACAAGTAATTCACACATTCCTGGGAATTGTTCTGTTTAAAAAAACCCCCCACAAAACTCAATTGGACCTGTAATCAAGGAAACAACTAGTGATCAACAATCACAATGTGAATGAAGAACGATCAGCACTGAGGTGGGATAGTAAGCTGCCTTCAGTCCCAGCCAGGTAATTGTTCATTTGAGGTCCTAGTAATGATTTAAGTGACTGATATGGCACTATATCTCTCCATCAGCAGCTGTATTGCTCACAGAAAAGCCCAGCTTGAGATCCAGGACAGCACAGCAGCCAGGATGGTGAATATTCCCCTATTGATTCGCACACCAACACAGCCTGAGCTGAAAATGTAAAGATGCCGAGTCCCCCCTCCCCCACACCCCTATGCTCACTTTGCCAGAGCTGTGATCAACCGAAATTGGAGCTTAATGAACTCTGTTTCATGGTCGGCACTGAAGCCTGCTTTTCCAGGTACACAGCAGGAAGATGATCAGCCCTTCACTGATACGGACAGGTCTGCCCTGAAGGGGGTCCCGAAACACTGGGCTACTGCAGTATTG